TCCCCCCCCCCCCCCCCGCACCCCAATTGGGCTACAGCAATAGAGATAATCAGCCATGTAATGACCTTTCCTCCCCAAGGCTGGTGTCTCACTTCCACTGGACTGCAAACCTTCCTGGAGCCCCAAACCAATATTTTTTAAAGGCCAAGAATCCTGTCTTAAGCCAACTGACCAAGTTAAGGGCTTTCCAAAAATCTCTAATGTACCAGTAGAAGGCCTTCCTATTTCTAATGTAATGCATTTTCTCCCACCCCCATGAACACATTATTTACTCTGAGGAAAAGCCATGTTCTGCCAGCTGTTCAAGGTGGATCAGACTAGGAATCCAATGTCATGTAGATCAGTACTACTTTTATTGTAAAGCTATAGTAACAGAATCTTGCAAGTCTGAATGTGTTTTTCCCCTGCCTTTTATTTTTGTGAGAACTAGGGAGGGTCTTGTCTGAGATGTTTATTCAGGCTACATTCCTGCCCCAGACTCAGTCCTCTTTTATCTGATCGTTGTCTTGCTAGCAGCTCTTCCTCTTGTCCCTCAAGGCCATTCTCTTTCTCCTCTACATGTTCAAATCCCACAAAATACTGCTATTTGTAGTACATGGGAAGATTCAGTCACTCTTCTGTAGCCAAGTGGAAGGGGGACCCTTCATTTTCCAATGTAGAGAGTTCTTGCAACATCTCATTGCTTGTCTGTTCTTTGGTTATAGGATGGGGGAAAAGGAAGGAAGAACAAGGCAGACGAGACCTCACAAAGGAGGACAAAAACCAGAAGGATGCTAAAGAAAGCAAGGCTGGCATCAAAAAAAGGAAAGGCTTGTTCCAGGGACCTGCCATGCCTGCAGCCTCTGTCTAATAGCTGCCCACCCACAGCGTAGTGATGGTGAATCTCTGTTGTAGCTGCTATATATTGGAGAGCTTAATCAGACCAGAACATCGAGTTGCCCACAGACATGCTCAGCACATGTGACAAAACATGCATGGATACAGATCTTTTTGTATCAAGCATCTGAAATGTTCATCTTTCTTGGAAAGCAGCATGTTTTTCCCAAGACCTTCTGGAGTATGTCAGGCTTTATTTGGGAAGCTGGAGAGGGGGAAGAGAAAATTCTTCAGTGAAGTGAAATCACCAGCTGAAGCCACCCGTGAAAGATGGGCAATGCCAAGGATTAGCCTGGAATGAGTTTGCTCAGAATCTGGCTTCTCCTCATTGTGACTCCAAGTTTATCATTGAGGTTCTGTGTTAAACGTTTGTGACATGCTCTGGAGTGCCTGCTCTGAAATTCCTTCAAAAACTCAAATTAAAAGCAAAAAATTGTTCACATATTCTGTAGATCTTGATTTAGGAACTCTGAAAATGCTTATCTATCTCTGCAACAGTGTAAAATGGCAGTTAAATTGTACTCCTAATGAGGAAAGCTGAAAATGTGAAAGAATAATTCAGTGGAGGAAACTTGTCTGCAAATGAGTGGCGGGCAGGAGGAAGGGATTCTGCCTTTCTGAGCTTTTGTGCAACATCCATTCCGTGACTTTATGTTGCTGTAGGAGTACTCTGAACATTACAAATTTGCTAAGATTCACAGAATGATCAGAAATATTTACAGCTTATAGAAGAGGCCCATTCCTTTTTCTGTGGGACACCCCCTTGAGATATTGGAAAACTTTTATCGTATCCCCCTCTAGGTTGCTCTTCCATAGGCTGAACATACCCAGATCCTTTAACTGTTCCCCATAGGATTTCTTTTCCAGATCCTGCACCATCTTGGTAGACCTCCTCTGAACTTGCTCCACTTTGTCAGGAACCTTTTTTTTACAGTGGTGCCGGCAGCTGGTCACAAGACATGGGATCTGACCAGAGGAAAATGTAGCAATCAATCCATGTTCCCTTTCTGTGGGAAAACTCTCCAATTAGTCATTTAGAGAAGGTGACCAAAATCAGGAATGATTAACCTTAAACTGTCAAACTCCTGCATTAATATTTGTAGAGAGAAAAATATTCAGTGTGCAACTTTTTTCCATAATATACCTCTAACATGTGATATACCCTAGGGTTGCAACTGCTTCATGTTTAAAGGTTGATGCCCATGGTTTATCAGGCAAGGATAACTAGTTGTGCTGGCCATATAAAATTATTACTGGAACTTTGGGATGCATTTCAGAGATAAAATGGAAAAGTCTATTCTCAACCATATCAGAAGCCAAAAAACAGAAAAAAATGCTCTCAGATGTGGGTAGTCCTTTGCAGCTTTTGTTGCAGAGCCAAATGTTACATAGGACATCATATGATTTACACCCTGCATGGTCCCATGGAGTGGGAAGACACATTTCAGCAACTTTTAGGGAACAAAGCAACTGTTCTTGCGAACATTCCAGGCAGTTGCTAAAGGCGCTGGTGCAACAGCAGAAGTCTGCTGAGCCCAACGTGCCCAGAGACTCTCACAGAGCAGGTGATTCACTGAACTATCTTTCTTCCAATAATAATAAAACCTCCTCTGTGATGTTCCCTACTCAAGCAGGCAGCTTTCTGGATACAGCTAGCCCTAGGAATGTCTTGCTTCTTTCTGTTGGCAGCCCAAGTGTTAGATTAATGCAAGTCTAGGAAAGGCTATCTGAAAGGTCTTTCTGGCTCCATCCGAAGGGTGGGAGTTGCATAGTTGGGTCTGTTCCACAGCTGAACCAAGCTCCCCTGGAGAGCTGGAGCCTAAGAAAGCTGCCAGCCCATCATCTCCTCGGTACTTAAGGAGACATTATTCCCTGGTATCTCTCACAGAGGATTTCACTTCAGCAAGATGATAAATTAGCAGCATACCAAGCTACAAATGGGCAGTTCACCCTTTGAACTCTTAACTCTGTAATGTTATGGTGATGCCAAGGAAATTTCCCTACCTCTCCTGTTTTTCCTCCCCATGAGAACTTGTTTCTGGCTGCTGCATCTTCCCAGTGGGATTAAACTTCTTGACAAAGGAGGAGGCTTTGACTGAGGGTGGCTTAAGTTATGTGGTTTCTTAGGACCTGCCTAATGGCTGATTCTTACACAGATTTTGCTGGAAAAAGAACTGCAGGAAAGCACTTCCTTGCATGTGGCCACTGCAGCTTCTCCACCTACTGTGCAAAGAGGACTGAAACAGGATTGCTGACAGAGAATGGGATGGAAAAAGAAGGCAAAGAGAAATCTTGTTTTATGTCCCTTAGAGCAGCTACTTCGTCAGCAGCGTGCTGAAGAGGAGAGCACCCTTGAGCCGTGGCTGAGATGGGCCTATTGCACGACCTTTTCCATTTTGCTTCCATCTGGGTCAAGCATCAAATCCTCCCATCCCTTTCTTTTCATCCTCAGCTCAGGTTTGCATATGGAATACTTCTGTGAGATCATGCAGTGATTGGTGCCAGCCTTTCCTTTTTTCTTGTTTGTGGAAGAAACAAGAGAGGGTTAGAAGTAAAGCCTTTGTTTGTCGAAAGCCTCTTCCATTGCTCCCCTTTAAGAAGTGACTAAAGCAAAGTTAGTGAAAAACATTCAGGTACAGAAAGCCAAAAAACAGGTAACCACTTTCCAAGAAAAATAAAAGGGCAGCCCTGGGCTTTCTGGCTCTCTTCCTCTCTTTCCCCCAAGAAACTCATCAGCCTAACGCGGGGGATCCCTAACTAGGACTGATCCCTTCCAAGTGATGCCATCTCTGCTGGGAAGCCAAGCATAACCTAACAGCCCCCTCCCCAATAATTTACTTGTCTTCTATCCCCTGGCAAGGTAGAGAACATATTTAACTTGGTTGTTCAGGTTTATATTCAAATGACTGTTTCTGCTAAAGAAATCTTGGTTTATACATTAAACAGAAAATCCTTGTCATATAATCCTTGAAATATAACCCACAAAGAAATGGTTTTCTGTTGTAAAATCAAAAAATAAACTAAGAAGCTAGGGTGATTTTCCCTCCTCCCCAATCTATCAGGAGCTCCAGGTTCACACAAGCAGTCACTCCAAATTAATCACTTTTGTAGAATATATTCACAGAATACTAGGATCTTTAATGAAAAAGGCTTTCTCTTCGTGCCCACCCACCTATTTGGCCTCTCCAGTATTCCCATGAACACAGATATTAAGAGGGCCAGTTTGGTGTTGTGGTTAAGGCATCAGGCTAGAAACCAGGAGATCCTGAGTTCTAGTCCTGCCATAGGCATGAAGTCAGCTGGGTGCCCTTGAGCCAGTCACTCCCTCTCAGCCCTGGGAAGAAGGAGGCAAGGACAAACCACTTCTGAAAACGCTTCCAAGAAAATTGCAGGGACAAGTCCAGGTAGTAGCCAGGAGTCAAGACTGACCTGAAGGTGCGGGTGCGCGCGGACACACACACACACACAGAGGAAAGGACTCCCACGAGAAGGGAGTCCGAAACTGCTCAGAAAAAAGACAGTCACTGAACAGCCCAACTCCAAATCTTTTTGGACTTTAGAGAGCAATAACAGCTTTTGAAACTGAGTCTGCTGCAAGAGCCAACAAAATTGGTGGCACATGTGCTGTCTGCTGTATTGTGACCAATCCCTGAGTGGCTGCATTGTGTGCTAATTGAAAAGTTTGTAGAGTCTTCCAAAGGCAGCACCACCCAAACTCTCCTATAGCAGCCCGTGCCAGATGTCGCTGGTGCACAAATAAACAAAACAGTACAGTTCAAGGAGAGTAGAGAGGAAGAGACATCTGGGCCTTGGAAATGCATCACAAGCTATTAATTCTATTTCAACTGTTTCTAGTTAGCCTCAATTTTGATTTTGTCAAAATGAAGCTGCAAACTTGTCCTGATATTTGAGATTTCTTCTGACTGGAAAATGTTCACCTCCCATATGCAAACACTTTCAGGACAACCTTTGGTTTCCAATAGAGCACGTAGATGAAGATTATAATGCTCCAGGATGTAGCAAACCATCTCTAAGACTTTTCAAGTCCACTAACCATAATCCCTTCTTGCTGATATATGTGGAGACAAATATAACTGCAAAGAATAGCTGCCAACTGTATCACCATGAACTTAGAAAAGCTGGGAAGAAAGCTCAAAACTTTGGGGACTCAGCTGATATCCTAATTCATCCCTCCAGTCCATAGAAAAGGATCAGAAAGGAGATGAAGCCGGCAAGTCAACCATCAAAGAATAAACTCTCTGTGTAGAAAAAACGATTGAAGCAACCTGGGCATCTATTTGTACTCTCACTGTTTCGAGGGTGCAACAGATGCAGAATCAGACCATGGATTCCATGTGGTTATCCATGATAAAGTTCACTATTTATCAGAACTGACTTGGGATCCCAAGCTGAAGTTTTGAAATTCAGTGAGAAAGAAGGGTCAGGAAAAGCAACTGTGCAGGGCAGGGACAGTCACCATTGTCAAGTTTGGCAGTGGTACAATTAAGAGAAGGAACTTCCAGAGACAATGCTAAGTACTGATTGTCTTCATGAACAGGAGAAGAAAGAGCCATAAGCTGGAAATTTTATTCATGTATTTGATTTATATAGCTGTCCATCTTACACAACATAACTCTGGGTGGCTCAAGAATAACTGTAAAAGTTATTATAACAATAAAAACATAAAACCAAACACAGAAAACTCCCAGCACCTCCAACTGCAACGTCCCCCCAAAATCTTTCTGGGCTCTAGCCTCACACTACCCCAATGCTTGTGGGAGAAGCCAGGTCTTCATGGTTTTTTGGAAGCCTGGGAGGATAGAGGCCTGCTGTGTCAGGTTCGGTCAGCACGAGGCTTCAGGGAAGCACGGGGCAGGGAAGCTCGCAACCAGA